AATAAAAAAAGAAAAACAAGTTAATCAGAACTACGCAGTGGTAATTCGATCGTCTAGACGGTGTCCGATTTTGCCAATTAAAAATCGGGTCGATCTAGAAATGAAGAATTCGCGGATTTGATTATTCATACTACTACAAATTGGAATAAATGCGAAAGTACGTTTATACGGAATGGCATTTTGAGTATGTAACGGATACTCGTTCCCCTATTTAAATACGTTTTAAAAAACGCGTACTCATTCTTATGTTAGCTATGCCGTCAGAAATGATTACGTAGTTTTTTTTATTTTTTATTTTTTCTTATTTTCTCATGAATTGGTCATTCATGCCTCGTTGAAACGTTTTCATCGTAAATACATCCTATTTTTGTAGGTGGTTTCAATTAATTAACATATATGTTTAAAACAGGATTTATTCTACACGTAACGAAACACGATTATTTATATCCGTTTATAAATCAGATCAGTGTATCAAATTTTGTTTAAGAAAAAAAAAAACAAAATCTTTGTATATGATAATTAAGTATCTTAACGTTAAATAAAATAATTCATTGTTATGTTCAATGAATATGAACAATATTTGAATATTTTCAATCATGAACAAATACGTTTGAATTTTTTTACATTTTTTGTTTTTTATATTGTATATAACAAAAATATTTGATCAGAATACAGAAACATAGATCATGCGCATATTTAGATTGAAATGCAATCATTGATATTCGAATAACGGTTTAATTCGATGAAAGCTTTTACCAGATACTACTTTGATAGAAAATCATCGTAGAACGAGCTAATAACATAAATAAATAATTATGTAAATACGATTGACTTTCTTTTCGTATAGTTATCTATACTCTAGGGGCCCAGATTGAACACTTTTTTTTTTAATCAATCATGCGAGGAAAAAAAAAATAAAACGAGATCGATCACATAGGCAAAAGCAGGTAACTTTCATTAGCATTTTACCGTGTCGAATTTGAATGGAAAATAGGATAACCACATGATCGATCTGTTTGATGAGATTAGAGAACAACCTTTACTATACTTTCGATGATAATCATTATTCGGAGCATTGCGAATATTTAATATATATATTTATGTTTTTATAGTTTTCAGTATAACGTTGGAAAAATATAAAATATACCGAGAGAAAAAAGTATTCTTCTGAAGAAAAATATTTCTAATGCGTTTGTGTACACGCATTCATGTTCGGCCCAATTACAATGCACGTATATACTACAGTGCGTGTAATCTAAGTGATTTGTAAAAGAAAAAAAGAAAAAAAAAAACTACAAATCTCACATAAGTCTGAGTTCTTAATTATGCCAATGTGAAGGTTATCACGGAAATGAGTAATATAAAATATATATTTTTTTTATTTTCCATTGAAATGATTTCCTTTGTAAAATTGATATAATTGTTACAAATATTATTACGATTATATTTATATATCAAAGTTAATGATGTTTGTTTTAAATTTGAATTAAAAAATAGCACCACTCATATAAGAAGTAAAATGATAATTAATTTTAAAGGACGTAGATGAATTTCTTTGAATCACAATTACTATAATTAAATTATCTTATTGAAATGTTTGTGTGTATCGATTTTATGGAAAACGATTTATAGATGAAATATTACAAATATAAGTTGAAACCAATAATAAGAAATAAAAAAAAAAAAAAATTGCATTTAATAAATTATTAGGCCATTAAATTAGATCCTAACATGATGAAATTCTGTTAATAACCTAAATGATAGAGGCGAATAGTTAAGAGTCACCGAAGCAGCGACTAGAAAGAAGAACAAACCGGTGTTCTCCATCCGTTCGAGATCCGACAATCATTAGCGTGAACGTGGGCTACTGTGAGACAAAAGGAAAGGGACTTTTCAACGAAATGCATAACATATATATTATATTCATGCATGGAATAAAATACATTACCTACGATTAACTAGAATCTAGGTACACACCCACATACACACATACAACTGTGTTATGTTAATCCGGAATCATGAAAATCTACGATGCGTACAACTTAACCGATACACGTTAGAGTGTATGAATGAGATAAAAAGGATGATAAAAGGAACCACCCAAGATCCTCGTGAAAATCAACTACCATACTTTCTCGTAGCCGATATATCCGTTTGAACTGGCTTCCATTGCTGTTGCTTTTACTGCTGCGTATTATCTCGAGTATGAGGAGAACGAAAATCTAGAGATCGGGCACAACCCATTTTAAAGTAGATTTCATTTTACAAGCACGATTTAACACATCTCTTTTTCATTCGACAAATTTATTAATCGAGAAATCGTTAAAGTATAACCGATCATTTCTTTTCTTTCAACTTAACATCCCTAACTCACCCTCCTCCTATTCATTTTTTTGTATCGATTTGCGATAGATTGTCCTTTTGATCTCGTTACGTTGAGATTGAAAGTAATATAAGTCATTTGAGTTTAATCGTAATGACCTAATGAAATTACAATTCACAAATTAAAAATAATAAATATTATTAATTGTATTAATCTTAATGGAAAGTTGATTAAATGAAAACGATGAGTTTAAGAAAATTCTTACATTAGTAGTGGGGATTGGAAATATGAATTGGGTTTCTTTGAGAAAACATTCAATCCGTGATAATCCGTGATTGTTGGGGCATCTACGAGAAAGTTTTCTAAGATTTTATAAACATCATGCAGCGTAGAGAGAAAATCGTCCATGCGATGGAAATAAAACAGGATACGTTAGATGATTGGAATATGTTTCTCGATTGAAAGTTAACAATTTGAAACGAATTTTTGTCTGTTTCAATTTATATTAAAAAAAAAAAAAAAAAATAGGATGCGAGGGGGTGATATCATAATTTCGTATTTCATTAAATTGTTTAATTAAATTGAACGAATTAGAAAATAATAGAAAAATACATTTAACTATATTTTTATTATCAAGTGTTCTACAAATGAAGGGGGTGTCAGTTGAAAAAGCAAATGATCAAAATTGATTAGAAAATCGGATAATTTTCAATAATATCGACCTAAAATCGAAATCGAAACATTCACTATGGGTTAGTCATAACTTTGCGATCTCCTTTGTGTGTGTGTGTGTGTGTTTTTTTTTTCTTTCTTTCTTTCTACCCGTAAATTCGACTGAGAGATACGAATTCTCCGCTCTATTTGACGCTTCCTCTCACCGGGCGATAGCAGACAGTAAGTAGCCAACACTAGGAAATAAATGAAAGAAAGAGAGGAAAAATAACTCCACCTCCACCACCTCCACCACCACGTTCTTTGATGTCTATGAGGAGGCTGATGATGGTGATGATGATGATGATGTTAAAGAAGAAAAAGATGAAAAGAGTTAGGATGTTAGTTGATGCTACTCTCCACTTAAGAGAATGTATGGAAACGACCGAAAGGCAAAAAGGAAAAAGGACTGTAGTAACATTGGTGGTAAGTCGCTCTATATAAACTGCAACTATCCGATGCCATAACCAGTGCAGTATACGCGCCTCGTTCGTCAACTTCGAGAGGTCCTTCTTCTATTTTAATATTCAACATCAACAAATTTCATTATAAAATTAGAAGAAGGATACAGGAAACAATTTTTTTTTTTTTAATTTAATAACATAAATAATTAACCAAAACGAATCAAATAATTGTTTTATTTTTTTTTTAAATTTCTAACAACAACAAAATTAAATAAATTGAATAAAAGTGAATTAATATCGATTCAATATGAAGGGTTTTGCCAAGATACCATACGAAAGTTCGATCGGTTATTATCGGATCTTGGTGATATTTTTGCTACTAGGATGCATCAATGGGGAAATCGAAAGACATAGTTCGAGACAAATGGTTGAGGAATCATCTGAAACTTTGTCATCAACTTTGAAAAAGGATTGTGGAAAATCTTACAGTATAACTTGTCTCAAATTGGACGTTCAAACATTACTTGAAAGATTGGCGGAACAAGATGAATTTTCACTATTACCTGGATTAGTTGTGGTCAAGGAAAATGTATCGGATAATGCTTTATCTGATCCCGAAATCGTTGCAACACTTGCCAGAGATTTTCCTAATGACGTTGAAAAAAGATTGGACGCATATCTCGTACACAAAATTGGTACTTATTTGAAGTCTCATTCGATATCGATCAAATTATTCGATCCTAAGATGTTCGAGGCTGCCAGAAGTTTCAACGAGGACGCATTGGCTCAATTGGGTTTGAACGGAAATCAAAATGCTGAAACAGGTTAATAAATGTTGTCCTTTTAATTGTATTTTTTCTGTTAATCGTGTTAAAAATGTATTTTTCTTTTCTTTATTCTCATTTGAATGATCTTTTGTTTCTTTTTACAGGACGTAAAAGAAAAGGTGGAAACGGTGGTATGATGGCAGGTCTGATGATGATGAAAGGTACACTAGGTGCTGTTGGTTTTGGTGCGTTAGCACTTTTAGCTGGTAAAGCTCTGATGACTGGTTTGATGGCACTCATGTTATCTGCGATCGTTGGATTGAAATCACTAGCAAGCGGTGGAGAAAAAAAGACAACATATGAGATTGTTAGCAAGCCGGTTTACTCGAGTTCACATACTCATAGTTCTGAGGAACATCACGGACACGGTTACGGACATTCGGGATACGGAAGATCTCTCGATTTGGTACAAGATACCATTCAGGAAGCTGTACGAAAATATGGGAATGCGCGTGATCGTCGTGCTATAAGAATTAATTAATATCATTCATTTCATTTTATTTTTTCATCAACGAGTAGTACCTGGACTCACCATTGACACGAGATCATTCAACAAACCCTTTTTTTTTTTATTCCTTATCTATTCTTTTAGTTTCTTATTCACGTTAAAACTAAACCGTTCTTATTTATATCAGTTAATCATACTTCGTTGATATCCTTTTGCATCATTTACTTCTTTTTCTCCTTCTTCAATCCTTTCTCCGACCTCGTTTTCTAACCATTCGCTCATAAATTTTCAACTAATCGTTCTATCCTTTTTTTTTCTTTTTTCTTAAAACCATCTACTCCCTCGTCATTGGCACGGTCTCATTTTTCTTTACCCTAAGTCACTGCATCACTGATTATCATAGTTCATTGTTGTTGTTGTATTTTTTTTTTTTTTTTTAAATTATTTAGAATATTTATTGAGAACAATGCTCCTCTTACGGAGCGGCAATGCGTATATGACTGTTATTAATTATTATAAAAAAATAATTGTTATAAATATATATATATATATACATATATATATATATTTATATATTTATTTCATTCATAATTTCTTAATAAAATTTATTTGTGATAATGTCTAATAATCGTTTTATTATTATTATTATTATTACTATACCTCTTTATTTTATTTAAATAAATTTCTAACGAGTCATTAGAAATTTTGTTTGTTTGATTCGTAATTTCATTCATGCCGCATTTATTTGAAAATCATTTGAAACAACCTCATTGGCATTGATGTGAATGAAAGTATCGAATGTAAGATGTGAATCTAATAACTTTTGCGGTTGTGTGACCTACTATATATAATATTTCAATTAATTATAATAATATAAGTAATATATACATACATATATAAAAATAAAAGTAAATAAAGTTTTATATCCTGGACGATGTGTTCAATAATTCGATTTTGTTTAAATAATAATCTCGAATGCGAACATTATTTTTTCTTCGACACCAACGTAGAGCAATTTGATATGCAACCGTGAACGCGTGGTCAACATCTCTCAGGTGTTTTCTTTTCCCATAGGATACCATATACTATATGTATCTTGTTAACAAAATAATAAAAACAAAATGCATAATACATAATAATTTGTTTTATCTATCGATATTAAATTGCAAAATAAATTATAATTTTATTTCGTATAAATAAATAATTTTTGCAATAACCTTTGTTTATTTGTTGAGTGTGTTGAATTAAATTGAATTTTTATTAAATAAAAATGAAGATATATATATTTTTGTTTTTTTTTGGAATAAAACTTAACACGTTCATTAGAAATATTTATTTAATCGAAATATAATAATTTAAATATTAACAAAATAAAAAGGATATGGATATATAAATATTGGGGAAGAGATAACAATTTGAATAGATAAAACGAGGTCAGATTTTCCGATTTTTGTTCGAAGTATTAAAAACAAACGTAGAATAAAACCAAACGAATGATCACTTAAAGAAGGATCCGTCGATCTTAAAGGTCATGAAACTTATCATTACGCTATTGTCGCGAATAAGGTAAATGACAATCGTGACAGACTGTTGAAAAAATAACAACTGGTGACATAAATATCGTTGTATATAAGAGATCAACGTTTTCGAAATATTCAAAAGCATCAGAGTCAGTCGTGGATTGACTTAAAAGTGTCATTTAGTTAGTGACGACGACGACGACGACGTGTATTCATCGTCACAGTAATAATCGTCATCGTTATCTTCGTGTTAACAAAAAAAGTGTTTATCATCGGATCAATGTTAACAACAACGAAGAACAATTGGAATAAATTAGAACGAATGTTCGTTCTATGGTTTTTAATCGTCAACGTTATTTGCATTAACGCGTTGTACGATGATAAAATTAATCGAATTAAAAATTACGACGTTGAATCTTACAATGATAATCGTACGAACGAAAGATCTATTTTTAATTATCGAAGAGCGGGTTTACGATTGGATATTAAAATAGTTACAAATCCTACGACAAATTTTACAGATACATTTAAACGCAAGATTGACAATTTTCCAGATTTTCCAACAAAGGATATAGGTCAATGTGTTTTAGATCTGTCATTGAGTTGCATTAAGAAACGTTTTGCCAAATTATTCGATAGTATTGGTGATTTGAATGAGATCACGTTGATTGGACAAAATGTTAAATTGGTTAAAATTAGAAAACCACGTGATGATCGTAGATCAATAAACAATTATGGAACGGATGAAATTCGTCGTAGTATTGATGATTTTTTCGATAGTTTTGTGTTACGTATAACTTTGCCAAGATGGAATGGAAAACGTGAGAGAAGTCAAATCGATTTGATGTTTGATGAAACATCAGGTGGACCAATTATCGAAGGTTCTTCTAAAAATAATTTATTAACATTCAATTTATATTCATATTTCGTTTATTATTTTTACAAATATTGTTTGAATGAAGAAGTTGATAGAAGATGGATAAATTAACATTTAAATATATTTCATCACTGCATTAAAAGTCAACATATATTTTTATTATTTAAATTTTTATATACAGTAGCCAAAAAAAAAAAATTTAAACAAATCAAATTAGTTCAGTCACCTAAATTTAATGTTAATGATAATTGTTCTTTTTAATCAAGATAAAAGATAACATTTTTGAAATCGTTTCAGGAAGAGGAATAATAGGAGGAGGAGGAGGTGGAAAAGGTGGTGGWGGTGGCAAAGGTGGAGGAGGTGGAGGTCTTAAAGGTGGTGGTGGTGGAGGAAGATGCAAAATGATGATGATGGCAATGCTTATGCTTGCTAAAATGAAGATCATAGGTAACGTTCAAAAAAAAATTAGACATTTTCATGAAGTAGTAGTTGAATATATAAATTGTTACTTAATAAATACATTGTTTAAATATTTTGTACAGGTGTGATAGGAATGATGGCAATGAAAGGAATGATAATGGGAGCAATGTCATTGATGATATCAACCGTGATGTTAATGATGAAATTTTTGAAAGGTGGAGGTGGTGGTGGTGGTGGTCCATGGAAAAGCGGTGGCGATGACGGAGGAAAAGGAGGTGGTGGTGGTGGCGGCGGTGGAGGAGGTGGAAGTAATAAATTATTTCCAATTTATTTAAAATTCAAATGTTTATATAAAAAAAAAAAAAATATGGAACCTAATTGTAATTCAATTATAATCATTTACAGATATCAAGGAAATAATTCTACTGACAAAAGTACCAAGCGGAGGAAATGGTGGAGGTGGTGGATACGGTGGAAATGGTGGAGGATACGGTGGAAATGGTGGA